ATTTCCTAGATTTGATTTCCACATTTTCATCCATTAGAACTCCCAAGACTGGTAATCTCGCTCCATTGTTGTTGACTTAACCTGTTGATTTTGACGCGCCCAAAGATGGCCCTACGGAAGGCTGCAGCTAGGTAGCTTGGAGGTCGGGGGGGAGGGGAGATGTGAGGTCACGTACCCAAGAATCAAGGTGGTCTTGAGTGTGTGACCTATGATGGACACAGTCACCCATCCACCCAACCATCAGGTCTTCTCAGTCATTACATATCAACCAGCTACCACCTGCCTTTTCTTGCAGACTCTCTACTAGCCGTTTCTGTATTTTTCATTGATACTTTTTTATTATTGTTTTTTAGTTTCTTTCACCATCCCATCATCTCTATTTGGGTCCCACCAATTTTTTAAATAAAAATTGGTCAAGAATGTTTCTGTGTTTTCACATGCTTTTTCCATTCATTGTATTTAACCTCCATGTTTAGACAGCATTGGTTTGTAGTCATGTCAATATCCGCCCATTCAAGCTGCGCATCATTTCCCTGTTATGTAGCACCTTTGCGTCTTCGGCACACACCCCCTTAAGGTTGGAGCTGCAGAGTGGATAGGAACACATCTTATTTACCAACCTTTTCCCTGAGATTCAGTTTGGCAATCTGGTTAGGCTCTGCTCATGTTATTTGAACCCAGGTCCTGCCGTAGAGTGCGTGGCTAATAGGCAGTTTTTATCTTTTTAGGAGGATCAACCCAAGAAGAAGGACCCAAGCCATTATACTACGCTAGACCCAAAGAGTATGAAGGTTAGACATAGTGTGTGTGTTTCGGTTACTTAAGAATAAAAGATTAATGGTTTTAGATACAACATATTAAAAGCCCTTTAGTTCTGCAAAGATGTAAGCACAGTTATGCGTTTTCAATGAAACAGTGACGTGAAAAGACCTACATTTCACTTTATTGCCTCTTCAGGGTACAATGCACAAGAGAATCTTAATGGTATATATGTGCTAAAACTCTCATGTCACATTGATGATCAGGTGTGCCATGATATGAGATAGGTTATGGCTCCCCGGTGCAGTGTTAACGTTGTTGATTGCTTCCATTAATGCCACTTCTGCAGTCTGGTTGCAACCATCACGAGATATTCTGTATACCTGGGTAACAGATCTTGCGGTGTTCTGCCCTCTTCTCTTAGACGATGTTGCTGCCTCCCCTGATGCCGATAGGCGTGAAAACAAACCGCTCGAAAGCTGGCGTGCGGCTGTACGCTGCGGTGGCGACCCAGTGATTCGGGCTGATATACCGAACTCGCGCTCAAAGCCGGCGCGCCGCCATTGTTTGCCAGAGCATAGAGTTTTTTTTTTTTCGTTTTCTTCACCCGTCACCATTGGGTTAAGAAGACGGCAAAAGTATCATTAAGGCAGTCAGCCAGCAACTGTAACACCACACACCCCACAAAAACAGCCAAAAACCATCTAAGGTCATGAGAAGCCTAATCATTGACCTGACAACTTTAGTGCTGATGTAGACCTGCAAGATTGCTCGCTCATTATCCTCAGAAGAAGCAGTGAAGTGAAAAGGCCTTCAGCATTTTTATCTTATTTGCAACTTGTTCGGCATGGATAAAGTGAAGCATAGCTACAGTATGGAAGAAATGATAAATCATGACATTTTCAGTGGAAATTATGACTCCTCATCAGAACTTAAACCTAAATGAATGAACAAAGTCATTTTGGTTGTGTTGTGTGATGACTCATCTGACTCGGAATACCATAATTTATTCCTTTCTTATTGTAGCTACATTTCACTCCAATAGGGTCCTTCCTTCCCATTGTATTGTTTCATGCATTTGTCTCTTTAATGTACGAAATACAGCATTAATAGAGGTATTTTTGTAATGTGTACTACATTTTAGGCTTTTGCTATATTTTCTATCCATAAATTTTCCCATCTTTGTATGTTACATATTCGTAGTATTTAATTGATTCTCTTTATACATACTGGGACTAAAGTTTAAGAATGAAATAAATCTACGGAGTTGCAACATGTTTTCAAAGCTCGGAGTTATTGCAATTGCAGGTTGTTGAACTTCGCTCAGAGTTGGATGCCCGGATGTTGAACAGTAAGGGTCTCAAATCACAGCTCATTGCCCGGTTAACAAAAGTGAGTACATGGCATAGTCAAGGCATTGTCATCTTTCAC